TAGCCCATTGTTACGAAAACAATAGGTGACGTCATTGTCGGCACCTTTGAGGGCCAAAACGCATCATACCATTACTACTAATATATTACAGTTCCATGATTATCTAAGTGAAAGAATTAATTTAATAGTTAATTCTATTGTTATAGAAAAATTTCATAAACTAGGATTTCAGTATAATCGAAATACGCTACAAATTGGTTTACCGTTTATTGTTGACATTAATGGTAATAATTAAAAAAAAATAATAATAACTATCCTAAAACAAATATTTTAACTTTAGATCTCAAATTTTTCACAAGACCTAATAAAACTTTGGAATTAGAGACAAGCGAACCCCAAAAAAAAGGTATAAATTTAAAAATAAATTATATAATTAAATTTTTTATTAGTACTTATTTTTGATCCCAATTATATATATAGAAATTTAACATAAATATCATTACGTCTAAGCTAAATATTAAGTATTATTTTGGTAAGTATTCTTAAAAATAGTCTTAAGGACTAACTTGAACCCTATATTTTTCTTAAGAAAAAGATAGAAAAACTGAATAATGCATTATGGTACTAATTTACCCTAAATATTATTGATGCTAAATCTTAACTTACCTTAATATTCTTTGATTTTTTGTTAGAAATTGAAAATCAATGGATATTTGAACTTATTGATTCATTAGATGAAGGTAATATTAATCAACATAAACGGTACATTAGTTAATTTAAATTTCTACTTATTTAAAAAAGTCTTCGTATTACTGTATTTCAAAATTATTTTGTATTAGAAATAAATAATAAATCAGATACCAATGAAGAAACCCAACTAATTGATTTTCTTGGACAAGGTAAAATGACTTGTAGATGAATTAATTTCTTATAAATTTTGTAATTATTAAAATAAATGGACTACATTTTACGTATTCTACAATTTGTCATATTGTGAATTTCGGTGCGTGCAAGTGCACTGATATCTCTGACAGACAAGCAACGCTGGCACATGTAATTTGTAATTAACAATTAAGAAATTTAAATATTATATCAACGATATAATATTCGATATAGTTGTCATTTCATTTCTAATTATTCCTAGTCACAAAAAAAAAAAAATTACATCTTTATTTTTTTTTCTTAAAATTAATAAAATTAAAAAATTAATAATTATATAATTAATGATGATAACACGTACTAACAACAAATAACTGAAACAGTGGTACGTTTTCTTTTTCTAGTTAATACATATTATACAAGAGATAAATAGTATTAAAATCAATAAGGCTAAATGAATAAATTAGTTGTTATTAGTAGGTGTCGATAAATAAATATAATATTTACATATACTTTCTTTCAATATTTTTACTAATTTCCATCTATTTATTCGATTTGATACTGAGTAACAATATTGGTGCAGTTTTTCTGATGTAGTATCTCTACTAACTATAATAAAAAACCAAAAAACCTATGCTAAACTGCTCCCTACATATTTTATACAACAATAAGACATATTTGGTCCAATATCCATCAGTGAGAAAAATAAAATTAACTTATTATTATTTTCTTTCTACATTGTATTATAACAAAATAGAAATATGAAATTTTCAAAATAACAGTGCTATTATAATTATTTTAATAATATTTTTTTATTAAGGATTAAATCCTAATGATTCGCATGAAGATATTTCAAACAAAAGTGAAATTGCTGAAGATAATGACAAGTGTATCAGATATTTTTAATTGTTGATTTATCTTAAAATCGCCACTTTTATCGAAATATTATAATATATTTATTTTCAATTGTATGTAAAAATAAATCATTTTGTTTAAGCTTCGAAAAGTATTTGAGAAGCTGTTGGTTTTATTGTGACGTATTTTTTTTTTTCTGTATTATTTATACTTCTTTTCTAATAGACTTAAACAAAAGTACGTCAAAATATCACAAAACGTATCTAGTTAAAGATATTAGTACCATCATATTGACAAATTCTCCTCAGTCTCTATAATGAAGATATATTGCCGAAAAAAATATAGCTATTATAATATAGTTGAAGTTCGTATTTTTAGTATTCCTTTTTAATAACTTTTCTAAAACTAGACAGATCATTGCAAACATCTTATTAGTTATACTTCAAACATTCTTCTTGATAACAACTTTCTTATTTTTTTATAAAAAGAATAATAAGTTAATACATAATATAACTATTAAAAAAACCCAACACAGTGGAGACGTGGTATAGTCGGATAAAGTATAATCATTATACTATATCCAACTATATATATAACCTTTCTTATACCAAATGTAAAAACTAAAAATGTCATTATTTTACTTGCACTAAACAAACACTATTCAGGTATTTCAATCTATTGCACTTCAACTTATAACTTCCACCCCTTGATATATTGCAAACACACTCATTGGCACGCGTATAAAAAAAACAGTTGGGGTTGCGGCACAGTATAGATGTGGCATAGTAAATATCTGACAGTGATTAAAATCACTATCGTAAGAAACGATTCGATGCAAATCTGTAGATAATGTTTAATTTTAAAAAATTGGTAGATTATTCCAAAAGCTACATGATCTGCTATTTCCTTATTTATAATGATTATAAGTTTTATGATTAGAAGTATAATATATGAATAAATATATAAAGGGAAATGGTTTTATTTAAAAAAAAAGTATGTCGAATGAAAGAGATATATAAAGAGTATTTATCATGAAAACAAACTATATTGATCTATATATTTTTCAAAAAGGTATAGCAGTGTCAGTATTTCGAGAACACTTTCAAAAGTTAATTTTTTTTAAAAAGTCATTTTGAATCTCCGTCTGTGGGCAGGTAAAGGGTCAAATTTATAAAAAAATATATCAAACGATAGTTAAACATATCATGCATTTATAAAAGAAAAATGGCATTGATTTGGTTATTTTTGAAAAAGTTATTGCAGTTATAAGAAAAAAAAATTTCTAAAAATTCTAAAATTAGCGATTTTTAAATTTGTAATTTTTTTGGAGATTTCTCCCATTTACGGGAACGAGGGAAAATTTTTATATTTTTTAGGGCAATTCTTCGACTAGATACAATTTGTGATCTTTTGACGTATCGTTAAAAGAAATCTGTCTGACATGAGCTAAGAAAAAGCGGCGACAGACATAAAAAAATATATATATATTTTAGGTTTAGAATTGGATATTTTAGTAAAGAAAAAAGGAACTCCTATGGTGTGCTAATTATGTAGTGTTATTTTTACCATGCATACTAACCTGTGGGTGATATAGCCAAAAAAAAAAATATAATTATAAATTTCATTGTTTAATTTAGCTATAATTTATTTTCTGAATGTTCGTCATTATGTTTTAAGGTTATAAATAAAATTTGATACATGTTGGAATTGTATTAATAACAATTGTTAAAATATATTTTTTCGTCTAATACTGATTTATTTATAATAATGTATTATTAATATTTGTATTACAATTTATTTCTAATCTCACACAATTTATTATAATCAATTAATAGATAAAAATAAACTTGGGTACTTTATTTAAATCGTGGTGAGGAAAATGATTTTTAGTCTATGGAAATAAAGCACCACTAAGTTCAAACCATTATATAGGCTAATGATTTCCAAACTAGTTGATAAAAATATTTTTAATTCCCCTCCCCTTATCATATGGTTGTTACTTGAAGACGCCCCTAAGAGTCCATAATATAAATTTTAAATGACAATGAAAAATTATGTATCTTGCTCATCTTGTTCGATACATATGAATAAAAAAAAACACGAGTCTGTTGAATTACGTATAGGTTGTTTGTTACAATACTTTTTTAAGGCGTTGTATGTATTGTAATAAGTTACAATATCAATTAAATCTGATATAGAAATTATATAATTATTAATATTATTTATTTCAAATTATTTCGGTCATAATTGATTATATTTTTTAATATTACAAAATATGTGTTAATTTTCGTCTCAGAATTTTATAATTTTACATGATCAGTAATACTCACACTTCACCCTTAGTAATAGATACCAAGTTTAATTTTAAATGATAAATATTTTACAATTTTGAAAATATAAAATATTTACAATGTAGCAACGTTAACAGTAGACATTGATAAATCTGTTATTATTGTCATTTGTATATTTTAATAATATTATTTACACAAAATATTCCTTAAACTTTATACAAGAAAACTAAATTTAAATGATTAAAGGTAATAAATGTAATTAAATTTGTAGAAATGGCTCCAACAATGCACGTGCAAATCTGCAGAAACTCGTCTAAAAAACATAATACCGTAAAAAAAAATATATGTGATTCATTCTTTTGTTTCGCTTGATATGCTCTCGTTAAACTAGTGCATACAATAAAATATGTACATTTTTTAAATAGATCTTGGTATCTGATTATGGCCAAAACATTCCTAAGAAAATTATTTTTTTATCAAAAATAAAAATACCTCAAAAAATTATTTAATTACCTTTTTTATATCAATGTAATATTTGTTTGATTTTCTTAATTATATAAGAATAATATCAATATTAATTTATTTCAAGCCCTGTTATACACTCAGTTATTATTTAAAAATGGATTTGTTCCAAAATCAAATATCATATTTTAAGTGTTAACTATAGAGAGTGTCTAGTAAGTAATTAAACAGGACAATTGTTCTCATTATTTGTAAAAATTAACCTATTTCTTTACTTACTGAAAACCCTATATATAAAAGGTATTAAACTATGTATTTGAAAAGTATATGTAATACGTGTACATTATTTCAGCTTTATTGATTTAGTATTGTTAGATAACGCTTGAACATTTTCATTTGCTATTCAATTGCGAACAAAAGATTTGAGTTTTTCATTATACAAATATAAATAAACTGTTTCATGCTATATATTTGGTAAACATACAAGACGTTTATAAGTAAGAAAAAGGGTTTCTACTGTTCTCATTGTTTGAAACAATTAACCTGCTTCCTTACTTTTAGAACACTGTATAGTACCAGCCCTTAATTGGTGATCTGATTATTTTTTATTTTGATTTGACCTCTCTTATACCAAATGTATTAACTAAAAATGTCATTATTTTACTTGCACTAAACAAACACTATTCAGGTATTTCAATCTATTGCACTTCAACTTATAACTTCCACCCCTTGATATATTGCAAACACACTCATTGGCACGCGTATAAAAAAACAGTTGGGGTTGCGGCACAGTATAGTTGTGGCATAGTAAATATCTGACAGTGATTAAAATCATATCGTAAGAAACGATTCGATGCAAATCTGTAGATAATGTTTAATTTTAAAAAATTAGTGAATTATTCAAAAAGCAAAAAATTCCTTTATAATTACTGATTATTAGTTTTTTTATTTAGAAGTATAATATATGAAAAAATATTTATTATAGCAATTAAATATAGTATTAGATTGATATTTAATAATTTAGTATTGTTATATTTTTCGGAGAATTTATAAAATATTATAAAGTAGTTATTACATTTATAGCAAAAGTAAATAAAATTTGAAAGTCTTGATCCAATACTTAAAAAAAATTTTTCTTATTAGCTTTTATACGAAACTGTGAAGGTATTAATTTTACTATGATGTGTTTTTTTTTTGTGTGTGTCTGTTACCACTTTTTCTCAGCTCTCATCGAGCCGATTTCTTTTAACAATACGTCTCAAAAGATCACAAATCGTATCTAGTCGAAGACATTACCCTTAAAAATTGAAAAAAATTTCCCTCGTTCTTCGTAATGGGGGAAAACTACAAAAAAATTACAAATTTAAAAATCGCTAATTTTTTCAATTTTTTTTTACTAAAAACTGCCGTAACTTCTTTTTCTCAGCTTTCGTCGAATCGATTTTATATCGATTAAAATACGATGATTGAAATCGGTAATATCAGACATGTTTATCTTAAAATTATTATAACTTTTTGAAAAATAAACGAATCAAAATAATTTTTTAATGATGCCTGTCACGGTACCTTAGCCACACCTTTTTTTATTAACTTATGTGGAAGTGTATCGGTGAATCATAAGTTTGTTTCTCTGATGATCGCGGGTTTTAATCCTGCACAGTGTCTCTTTTTCTAGCACACTCGATGACCAACAATCAATTCCCGACGGCTGTATTATACCTTAGGTATTTTCTTTTCATTCAGTATAAAGTTTTTGAAAATACGACATTTTTATGTCCACAGAAGGCATTCTAAATAGCAACTTTTGCACAATAAGTTGACTTTTTAAATTTCACTTTTGAAAATGTTTCGGAAATACTTCGAGCTTTAAACATATGTTAATTTAAAGCGTATGTTACGTACTATTGATTAAAAAAAATCTTAAATTCAATCTAAGTGTTATTTATAAATATTTTTAGAGAGAATTTCTTGAATTTTTAATGTATTTCTTTTAATATGTATATTAAACGGAAGACGAGGGGCTAACTTTTACAAAAAAATGTTTAATTATCAATGGAATATGATAAATTGAGACTAATGGAATACAGGATGACTTTTTTTTAACTTCTTCTAGCTAATTTTTTTTTTTTAGCTTCGATGCTGAGAAGGTATTGGTTTTACTATGATGTGTTTTTTTTTTTTTTTTTTTTTTTACCCCTTNGGTTTTACTATGATGTGTTTTTTTTTTTTTTGTATCTGTTACCACTTTTTCTCAGCTCTCATTGAACGGATTTCTTTCAACGATACGTCAAAAGATCGTAAATTGTATCTAGTTGAAGACATTACCCTTAAAAATTGAAAAAAATTTCCCTCGTTCCCCGTAATGGGGGAAACCTCCAAAAAAATTACAAATTTAAAAATCGCTAATTTTCGAAATTTTTACAATTTTTTTTACTAAAAACTGCCGTAACTTTTTCAAAAATGAACATATCAAAATAACTTTTATTTATACTAAAACCTTAGATATTTCCCTTTCATTTGATATCATTTTTTTGAAAATCTTACACTTAACCTGCTCAATGGGGGGGATTTATCTCAAAATTAAACAAATTTCCCTCGTTCCCCGTAAATAGGGGGAAATCTCAAAAAAAAAAAAATTACAATTTTAGTAAAGTTAATTTTATGGCAAACGTGTATAAAAATTAAAGGGCTTAACACAGAACAATTTAGATAATAATTTGTTCTGAACTATGACTAATGGTCTGCAAAATATAATCATCTGAGTCAAAAATAGACTTTCATTATTCAATTTTTCGTGCTAATTTCAAATCAGCAATAATTGCTTATTATAATATAATTATTATATTTTTTCTATCACCAATAATTATTACTAAGTAGTTAAAAACTATAGGATATCACTATAAGGAAAATAGTTCTGAATATTTCAATTATATCATCTATTTAAAAACCAAAAATTACATAGTAATTATTAATATTTCTTTTAAAATGATTTATTACGAAACAAAAAATAATTAAAAATAATCAGTGCTAAGTATAATTTTTAACCTATATTTTTGGATTTTAAAAATTAATTTTTTGAAAGTTTATAATAAAAAAAGTTGAATTTGTTAGCATAATTTTTATCTCAACTTTAAGTATGAAATTTACATTATTAAATATAATACTTTATGAGAATAAAAAATAGTATTCTTAAGATTAATATGGAGTTAGGAAATTGTATAATTACTATTTATTTTATCAGAAAAGCTCAATATCTTTTTTTGCATTTTTCTTGTAATAGAAACCATAGTAATCATTTCTAAGTAAATTTTGGTGTTTAAAAAGATTCTACAATTGAAATATTCAGAACTTAATTAATTTTAACTTTTTGATTTAACTAAAAAAGCAATCAAAAAGTTATTAAATAGATCTTCTCAATTAAGCGTATTATAAAATTTGATTATAATTGTAAAAATATTTTGTTAAAATTTGGTAAAACTAATATTATTTTTTTTTTAGATTTATGATTTATATAGCAATATGTTACTAAAAAATTTGGAATATTATAGTCTGGTAGTAACACACACAAAAAAAGTTAAAAAATTAATAAATTACAAAGTAAAATTATTTAATTATGTAGTTGAAACCTATTATCATATCAAACCTAATTCGACAAAAAAATACTTTAGAAACATTAAAAATTAATGATTTTAATTGTCTATATGGAAAATGTGGACTAAGTAACTTTTTAATTGATAAATTGGAAATTTTTTTAATTGTTGAGGGTAATATCTTTTACTAGATAATAGTTGTGATCATTTGATGTATGGTTAAAAAAAGTTGTTTAAGTGAGAGCTGAGAAAATAAATGAAAGCAATTAAAAAAAAATCACATAGTAAAATAATTTTAATATGAAAAAGAAATTTTTTCAAACAAAAGGAGACTACAGTAATTGGGTCCTCGATATTCATTGAAGTTATTTATAAAACATTTGTAAGGTATTTTAAAATAAAATACAAAATCGAGAATTTTAACACAAATATAACATACGGTAGCCATTTTTATCGTAAAGACAAAATAAAGTCTGAATTTTTTTTTTCTATAATAAAGCATATATTACATTAGTTTTAATTTAAGTTAAATATAAATGTTTCAGTATTTTGCAATCTAAGCTAAAACAGAGTGGCGGGACAGACTCAGTTAACTACAATTTTACCACAGAAAAAAATATGATATGTGTTATGATTGTTATGTTTGCCTTTAAAATATATTTTTTTGAATAAAACATAAATAACTGTTAATATAATAACAACTTATATTACATAAATAACAAAAGAACTGTTGGTTTTTTTCTCTCTTTTTTTTTTATTTTAAAGTTTTCTTTTGATTGATATCTGTCGAATGTAATTATTTGTAATAGTAGTTGTGCATTCAGTTAGAATTCACACATTTTTTCCATTTATATCAGATATATGGTCAGCATATTTTATTTTGACACATTTTGAGAGTATTCTTGATCATTATAAGTAATTATTGTACTTAATTATTATTGCGTTCTATATTTTAACAAGTTTTGGTGTTTTAGGTCATATTCTATTTAATTCTATTAAGCTATTTTTCGTATAGTTTGAATATTACATATTAGTATTCATTGGTGTCATTGTCACATTTACTGTTTATTTCATAAATGTCAGGTGGACTCCGATAACCGGAGTTATGGTGTTATGTGTTTGCATTTAATAGAATTGTAAGTGGCATTTTTCTTTAAATTATTGATAATAATTGTCCACAATTTTAAATGGATGGCATAGAAAGCAATAGTTCAAGAGCCCGTTTAGTTAAGAACAAAATTGGATAAAATTTGTAAAATAAAGTGACTAGAATAAATTTTCTTTATTATAAGTTCTGTCTAAATTGTTACTTGAAAAATATCAAAATAGATTTTTACCTTCATTCATATTATCAAATTGCATATTACCACCTTATATAAATTGTATACGTCTAATAACCTTTGAGTATAATTTTTATTGAATATTGTTGTTGTAGTTTATTTTAACTAATTTATATTAAAAATTATTTAAATATAAAATCATAGAATATAAAATATAAAAGCGAATAATGATTCGTTTAATAGTACTGCATAATAATTTTAAACTAGAAACAGTTAACGGTATTCTCTAAACCTAATAAAATACCTAAATAAGTAATGAGTTTGAAAAAAAAAACTACGCATGAAATTTTTTTTTTTATTTTGAAACTATTTTGGAGTGACTGCATTATTAAACTTATACTAAATTAAAGCTCATAAAACATACTTAATTATTAAAAAAAAATTATCGACAAACTTTCTTCTAGAAGAATTAGATCACTAAACCGAAAAAAGAATTCTTTGTTTTCAATTTTTGAAAATGCTTCAGAAAGTCTATTTCTAAATTTATACCAACTTAAAGATTTTTAAGAGTACTTTATTATGAAAAAAAAGAAAAATCTTTTTTCTTTTATAAGTTCTTAAAATATTTTACGAGTTAATATTATAGTGTATCACATTGATGTTTTATTGAATTGTTGATTTTTAAGTAGTTTGCGTGAAATAAGGAGATCAGTGACAATAGGCGAGGACGTGATTGGAAAGGTGGAATTTTTTAAGTATTTAAGATCAGTTGTGCAAAAGTTATGTTTCAGAGTGTTGAGCAGTTGATAAGAAAGTAAAGCAGAAAATGAGTGTAGCAGAGATGAGAATGCTCAGATGATGAGTGGAGTGACTAGAGAAAATAAGATAAGAAATGAGCATATAAGAGGCGTATAGGTGTAGCGTCAATCGTGGATAAGATTAGAGAAAATAGACTTAGATGGTTTGGTTATGTTATGAGAAGAGAAGAATCGGAAGCCGTAAGAGCAGTTGTAGAAATAAATGTCGAAGGGAAAAGAGGTAGATGAAAAAAGAAGACCAAAAAAGAAATGGAGAGATGTTATTGAATGCGATATGAGGACATCTGATATGAGCATAGAGAATGTGGGATATCGTGTCAAGTATAAATTTAGGATAAGGGTGGCCGACCCCAAGTAGTTGGGCGAGGAAGAAGAAGAAGAAGATTTTTAAGTAGTTTGCCTAATTAGTTTGACAATAATAGACCATAATGTACTATATCAACTTAAAATTGAACAGAATTGCATCGAAGCATTTTATAATAACAAATATCATCATCTATACTTGTTTCAACTATGCTCTAACCTGTGTTAGATTTCTATATTTATAATTTGTTTTTTAAAGTATTCATAATTTTAATTGTTAATTACTTTAAGAATTTTAGTAAAAATAATTCTTCTCTTTACAAAAATTAAAAATTTTGCTTTTTTTCTGTAAAATCAATTTATCTATCTAAAAATAATGAGAAATGACAATTTCTTATAATTGATGGAATTGTTTTTTTAAGTATCATAACTTTTATCATACTTTATTAAATCTTATTCATAATTTTTTTTATAAAACCCAACAATAATGTAAACACATTAATAATTAATATAACAATCATATAAATTATTTATACGATTGTTTACATAATTGTATGTCTTATACTTACTAATGACGTAAATTTATTTGTATATACGTAATTTTTTACACAAGAACATTTAAAAACAAATATTTTTACCATTACATTTATTACATTCTATATAATTTGTTAGATTAAACTATCAACATTTTTTTTAAATTTCATTAATCGAAATGTCCAATTTTTTATGCATTGTATTTAAAATTTATATAAATTATATTTATTTTTTTTTAAAGTTTAACTCTCAAATCTCAATATTTTAAAGTTAAATTATCTTTTAGTATTCGATTGTAAAAAAATTAAAACATAAAACAATACATAACAATTTCAAACTAAAGTAAGAGTATAAATATTTAATTATAGATTTTTATCATTAATAATGCAATTCTATAATTTTATATGTATAATCGTCTTCATATTCATTATAACACAAGATGATGTCATAGGAAATGATTTAAATTACTATTATATTCCCGAAAATCGAAACGAATTAATCAAAACTGCTTTAAAAATCAATTTTATCGAAACTATTTGCAAAAGTCCACAAAATTTAGGCATAAATTTAACTAACATTAAAAACATTGAGGACACGGAATTAAAAGTTTTTATAGGAATGCAATTATCAAAAGTAAGATGTATATTAATGACTAATGTTTTAAATCATATGCTTTTAACAAAAATATTATTCAAAAATGATATAAATAATAAAAAACGGATTAGTTATATCATTAAATACAAAGACATTATTCAAGATATGATTGCAACTGCATACAATTTGGGAATAAGGGAACTTAATGGTTTTTGGGTGTATTATTTGTATATAAATAAATTATCAGAAATAAGTATTGCAGATATTGACTTAGCAAATCTTCTAAATATTCATGAATCTATTATAAAACGCTTGGATTATTTATTAAATCAAAAAAATTGTATGGATAAAAGTTATGATTGTGAGTTTAAAATTGAATATTCTAGTAAGTTTTCAAGATTTAATAATGATGGCTGTTTAAAAAATATTACAGAACATATAAATAAAAATTTTGAAAACATTAAAAAGTTCATGGATATTCATAATGAAAATGGAATAACTCCTAAAAACAAAGAATATTTTACTATTGAACGATTGTATTTAAATAATATTGTTAAAGTTAATGGATTTATGACAGAATTGATAGATACATTTGATGTAGCGATCCTATGGAAATCTTTTCCAGATACTTTATTAGAAAGAAACAATAAAAGCCAAGAACTTAACTCTTTTATGTTTGGTTCAAGGTATCTTGCCCTTTATCAAAACTCATTTTTAACTTTTATAAAAATATTTATAATTCGTATGATACAAAAACATTTTTTGTACCAAAATCGATATAGACACACCAAAGAAATTAAAAATTTGATAAAATCATGGTCCGGTAGAACACTTAAAGTAAAAACAAAAAAAGAAGAAATAATCTCCATTGTAAAATTATTCATTAGCTTATTTAATTTACCAGAGTATGATGATTTATGTCAAATTGTAAATATATTAGAAGATTCAGACATTAACAACAACAAGAAACCAGACAAAAATCTTATACTAAATTTTATAAAACAGGCTTTAATTGAAATTCCAATTAAATTATCTGTTAATATAAAAGTTAATTCTTTATCTAATTATGAATCTTCTACTAATTTAACACGTGTATTAGACTTTGCAAATAAACAAAAAGTCAATTTAGATTTTTTGCCAAAGAACATAAATAATATTAATTCAATTGATAAAAATATTACAATTTTAAAAATATTTTATGAATATTTTAATCAAAATAATAAATTGAAATATATAAACTTTGATGTTATAAAGAGATTTATGGCATCTTGTGAGTCTGGAATACATATTATGTGATTATTTTGAGGGGATTTACTTTTTGATAATGTAATAACATTTTTTTTGTTCCGGGTAAATACATTTGGAATTTCTTACACATTGAAAATTAAAAAATTACCATTACAGTCTTATTACTGTAAAATCATAGCTAAATTGAAATAAAAATTTGACCTTTATAAACAATATAAGTTGCACTTAAGTTTTTTATTTAAGGTCTTTTTTACTGATTTTAATAATTCATTTTGTTATTTTAATCTTAACTTGTAACTTATTGGTCAAATAAAAACCATAATAAAATAAGGGATAAGACTTATTCATTAGTTTTTATCGTTTAAATAAAATAAATTAGAACATAATTATTATAAAGACTTTTGTACCAAACAATTTTAATATAGATTTTATATTCATTGCTTATATTGTAGAGTATCATATAGATTATAATTCAATCAATAAAAATGTATAAAATGTTCAAATTAATTTGTAAAAACGTACATAAATAAAATAACTATTATAATAAAAAAGTGAGTAATTATATACATACATTATATATTTTTTTCACTTTATTATCCATACAATTAATGACATAACCAAGAGGAAGTTTCAATCCTTTCCGTAGAGCAATTATTACTGCTAATAGTATATGACTTTGGCGTTAGTAAGAGGATATTAAAAGGCCAAAAAATAAACAGTTTTTAGCCCACCTCAAGCAAAGAACCCTTAATTTTATTAATTTACTTCTTACTAAATGTTATTATTTTACTAAACCCTCACATTCACCTACACACGTCAACCAGTCGCTTATATGTCAATTAAATAATAGAATTTATAGGAAATTTCATATTTTTTTGTAGTTTGTGAAATATAATTTATTAGTTTTGTTGGAATTAACATATTAAGTAAAATTTTGAAAGAGTCAAAGTGACTACAAAATTTTGCTTATATACCCTTAGAGACCTTATCACCTAGTGATGTTATCACTAAGTAATATTACACATTTTGCCAGTTTACACATGTTTAATTATGAATTTTCTAGTGAACCAAGATCCCAATTAATTATATTGTTTTTATTTTTAAACATTTCTATTGTCTCCCTCATATTAAGTTTTATGTAATTATTTACACTTTTAATTAGTTTTATGGTTTTAATGGAGTGATCATGTAACAATAAATGTTCAGCCACTGCAATTTTCAAGAATCAACTTCTTGATTTTTAATGTTTCTTAAGTACTCTTTAAACCTAAATTTCTTTTTATTTGTTCTACGTAACATTTAATATAACTTTCACGTTGTATTTCCCCTAACCCAGCCATACTAAGTGAAAGGGACTATAAAAAATCAGGAAAGGTAGGTGCTGGAATTTGAGGCTTAAAGCCACGAATAAATGTTAGTATGTCATTGGGCACAACACCCTCTGTTTTCCAAGCAGAGGTGATAGCGATACTGGTAGGGGCTCAGAACCTGCTGGTATAGAAAAATAGGAAGATAATTATCTTAAGTGATAGTCAAGCGGCTTTGAAAGCACTCTGTAACGATCAGGTGAATTCAAAGCTGGTCCTCGAATGCAGGGAAACTTTAGAATCACTATCGAGGTTCAACAAAGTTACACTAGCGTGGGGTAATATAGGTCATTATTTTGTAAAACTGAAAACAAAGCATTTTTGTAATGTTTGGTATAACTATGAATTTCTTGATCTATTATTACAAAAATATAATTTAGTCTATTATTTGTAAACCTAGAAGTAGAACACTTTTGTAATGTTTAGATTAATTGTAAATCCCCGAATTATTGTTACTAGATCAGGAAGTAAATATTTATAAACATTTTTGAAAATGATTACTATATGAATTTTATAAAAAGAAAAAGAAAATATGTTAGTATATAAGACGAAATGGAATGAATTGAAAAGGGAAGAGAAAGAGAAGACCTCGGAAGTACCGAAAGTAATCTCTTTCCGCGTGATACGTTTGTGACATTAAGTTTTCATTTTGTGTATTATTTATTTAACCGATTTTAAGTGTATCAATATTTTATAGAATTTTACTTTGATTGATTATATCTTTATTAACTACATTTTGCGTTATTATTGAACTATTATAACTATAAGTTAGAACAAAAAGAGTGTTCCATATATATGAATACAACAGTGGGTACCGGGACACAACGGTGTCACTGAAAATGAGAATGCTGACTTTCTAGCCAGGAAAGGAGCAGAGAACACCTATGTTGGACCAGAACCAGTGGTAGGGCTCACTCTGCAATCGCTCAAAGCGTTACCCAAGAATTGGTGCAGAGAACAACACAGGAAAATCTGGAAGTACTTGGTAGTACCTAGACAATCTAAAATGTTTATCAAGACCCCTGGTTTATTGCTGGGTGATCTTAATAGCATGACTAGACATCAAATAAGCACCCTGACTGGTCTACTGACAGGACATGGTCACCTGCTTAAGCATCTTAACGCAATGGGGGTATCGGAATCACCATTGTGCAGGAAGTGTGGAGTAGAAGAGGAAGACTCATTTCACATCATGTGCGAATGTGAAGCCTTGTCCACACTAAGATCAAACTACTTGAATAAACCATTTCCTGAAAAAGAAGATATTAAAAACCTAAAACCCAGAGAGATAGTTAATTTCGCCAGAAAGACAGGACTCTTTGGTCATCTTTAGAGGTGACTTTATGGTTGGTAATGTATTAACACTTTGGTGATAACACTTAGGTGGGTAAACCGAATCAAGACAATTCGGTATGAGGTGCGCACAATGGACCAACAGGTCTGAGTGCATGGGCATTATGTCCACCTCACATTGTATTTTATAAATGCCTGATTTCCCCCCTTCTTCTATTTTATCTTTAGGGTTACCTAATAAATTTCTTAAATTATGACTCTTAGATGTAATAGATGTAATATTAGCTAAAGTAATACCAAAATTCTTAAAAATTTTAGCTAGTCCATTTAGATGCCTGGATAATATAAAAATGGTGATCTAATTACTTTTTGTTCTCCCGTGCTAGTGAGTGTATAGCTGCCCTCCTTTTTTTATTCCACTTATATGTTCGAACTAATTTTGAAATTAAAACATTTTCTTATACTCATTAAAACTAGTTATTTCTCTTATAAACCGTAGTTCTTTATCAAAATCTATTCTATTCATATTATTATCAAAAGCTGCTAATTTTTGTTGCTAACTATGATTCTAGTTGTTCGGGACGAGTTTTTGTTTTTCCAATGAATTTCAAAATTTAGTTCCCCCTTTATTCTTTTAACTAATAAATCCAAAAAAGACAATTTTCCCTCTACTTCCTGTTCATATGTAAATTTAATCGATGGGTAAAAAGAATTTAAATTTTGTATGAAGACCTCTGTATTAGAATCTTCATTAATTACTGCAAAAAAATCATCTACATATCTTACCTAAATTTTTGGAAAATCACCACAAGTGTGTTTTAAATTTGCTTCGAACTTACTCATAACTAGGTTCGAAAGCGTTGATAATAGTAACATAGTTTCCGAAATACATATCCGCTGTTTTTCAGTAATTTTTTGTAGCTTTTTGAGTTTGATATTTTTTAGTTTTAAATTACTAATATTTTTAATATAGTATTAATTTTGAATAATATTAGCCACAAGTGATCAATTTTTATTATATGAGTAGATTTGTATAACAACTTTTTGGTTGCTTTTTTTAGTTAAACTAAATTATTTAAATTAATTAAGTTCAGAATATTTCAATTGTAGAATCTTTTTAAACACCAAAAGTTACTTAAAAATGATTATTTGATATCTATTAAAATTATTTAATATGATAAAAATGCAAAAAAGTAGTGATTTTAACGAAATATTTATGTTTTACTCAACTCTTAAAATTACTGTATATATTAATCATAAAATTTCCTAACTGCATATTAATCTTAGCAATACCATTTTTTTAATTCTCATAAAATTTTCTGATTAATGATGTCAATTTCAAACTTATAAGTTTAGCTAAATGTTATGGTAGCTATTTAAACTTTTTTTTACTATAAATTTTCACAAATTCAACTTTCAAATCATCTACGTACACATTAGTCGTCATCGTATCACTTTCAACAACATCTCTCCGTCTTTTTTTTTTTTTATCTACCTTTAACATTCATTTCCATAACTGTTCTTACAGCTTCCAACTCCTCTCTACTCATAATATGACCAAACCATCCGTCTGTTTTCTCTCATCTTATCTAGGATTGACGCTACACCTATACTCCCTCTTATATGTTCGTTTTTATGCCCCTTTTAGACGTGCCATGACACATATCCTCTATTGTATTGATGTACCTTTTTGAGACTCCTTCTCTCATTAATACCCACTTAAAAACCTCTCTCGGTACTCTACTATACGATTTGTCCAAATATATAAATACCACATACAGATTTTTCTTCTTATCCCTATACTTTTTTATTAGTTGTCTTACACAAAAAACTGGCTCCATCGTTGTCTTTCCAATCAAAAATCAAACTGGTTCTTTGTTATCTAAGCTTTTCATTTTATTATTTTGTTCATACCCTTTTCCCAAATCTATAATAATACTATACTATAATTCGTAAGCTTTATGCCTCTATAATTTCCACAAACTCGTATATCCCCTTTGCTTTTAAATATATTCAATAACATAGCATATGCAATACTATGTTTTCAAATAAGTCAGAAGTGTGAAAATAAAATAGAACTAAAAACAATATTGTTTCATTATTATTTAAAATACTGCAAAGAAATAATATTAACAATTTTGATTACTATAAAAAGTGTTTGTCAAATTGTAAACTGTTACAAAGAGAAAAATTTGGATAATTGAATATTTTAGATATAAAAACAACTGCGTTTATTATTAAATTTAAATAATTAATATTCTTGTGTGCTAACTACAGCTAACTTCTTTTGGATAAGCAAATAAATTTAAAACACCTGTATACTAAAAATATATTTCACACATTATTCATAAATAAAATTTAGTTAACTGTATTTAATTAATTTCTGAAAAAATAAGTTATCTCAAATAAGTATTTTAATCATATTGTATATATGTAAATTAATTATTTAAAAACAAAATTCGGAAGACAAGGAAACTTGTCTACGACCTTTGAGGATTGATGTAAAAATTCAATTCAATTATTATTATATTATTAATATTATAATTATATTATATTATAGAAGAAAATTTTATTACATCGTTTAATCATTTAAAACTAATTAGATATTTTAGAATTTTAAGTAGAAGTATAATACACATTTTTATGTAGGCAAATGTTCATACTTTCCAAAACATTTTATTTACGAAAATATTCCTCAACATTTTAATTTCTTATCGCAAGTCTAAAGATGTACTCATTCATGGCTTTTATCATATTTAATTAATTGGTTCTTAATGTTATATCATTCAATTAATAGGTTATTACTTTTTTTATTGAAATATTTTTAATTTTCGTGCAGCTACTGAAAACTATTTAACTACTTTAAAATGCTTATATATAAAAGTTCTTTTAGTTTGAAAATAGATTTCAAACAAAAATGTCTGCATTATGAGTATTGTAAATAATAAAAAGAAAGTTTAAAATTTTATTTCAAGAGCTTTTTTATAAACTATGAGAAAAATTTTAAATACATAAATTTATTGACAATAACACAAGAGTTAGATTGAGATCGGTTCGTTTGATAAATTAAGAAATTAATCATAGTTTGTACTTTACACTTTTTCTTCATAATGTTATAAATGCCTAGAGTTAAAAATACTATTAAAGAAATATCGGGAAAAATATATTTAAAAGATTTTTTTATACAAAATAATTAAATCTATAATATATCACACATATGTGTTCTAAAATTAATGTTCAACCTAAAAATTTTTTTTTTCGCAATCCTATTATTATAAAAGAAATGTTTTAAACATTTGACAATAAGATTAAACGCAGCACTCAAATGACAAAACTTTATTCGGTAAGCTAAAGAAATATTAATAATAACTTTAACGTTAATTAGCTATTTTTACCAATTTGACAATTTTTCAAAAAACGGTGGATCCATTAATTATATATCCAAATAATAAACAACATTTTCAGGAATTATTAAGATTGCAACAATCAACTATTTAAATCATGCAAAAAATTTTTATATTCATATTAATTAATATTTTTGAATTAGTAGTGATTTCGGAAAGATCTTTGGCGGGCGGAAATTTGAAATTTGATATACCAATACCTCGTTTTTTGATGGAAGAAACTTTGTTAAAAGTACAATATGTAGAACAAATTTGCAAAAGTGGCATTCCAGTAGATATTTTAACACCTGATTCAATAAAAAACGAAAATGATTCTAATATAAAATTTTGGATAGAAACACATATAAGTAAATTTAGATGCATGTACATGTTTAATGCACTCCAGCATATGCGTTTATCTAGAAATTTGTTTAAGGCACACTTAAAAAATAGCATAATTATACCAATTATTGTTAAATACAAAGAAATTATTCAAGAAATATTAGCTCTGTTATACTCACTAGGAGTGAGAGAATTAAATGGATTATGGTTACTTTATGTTTACATTGAAATACTATTAGCGCATTTAGCGGAAAAAGATTTCTTGAATATTTTAAATACGAGAAATTTTGAGTTATTGTCATATCAAAATTCTATACTAAATCGTCTAGAATTTTTATCCCGTTCACCTTATTGTGAGAATAGCACAAGTTATCAATGTGATTTTAAAAGTACTGATTATGATGTCCAAGAATGTGAGGATGGAGATAAAGAAGAATGTTTAAAAAAAGTAGAGTTATTAGTAGATAAAAATATCAGTAACATTCACGACTTAAAGAAAAAATTAGCAGATAATGGAATTGTTTCTAATAACCTGGAATGGTTTTCTATTGAACGGTTATACATTAATGATGTAGTTAAATCAGACACGTTTATCAAAACTTTAATAGAGACATTTAATGTTGATATCGAGTGGAATTCAGTTCAGAACGACTTAATAAATTTTAATATTCAAAGCCATAACATACATTTTTTGTTATTTGGTTCCATTAATTTAAGATTCTACCAAAGCTCGTTTTTGGGTTTTATAAAATTATTTATTATTCGGATGACACGAAGGCATTTCATGTACATACGTGATGAATATACTCCATTAAAAAAATGTATTAATAAACTCGCGAACAAAGAAGATAAACAAGTAAGGTACACTATTGAAATAGAAAGAATGTTGCTTAAGTTTATTAATTTCTTTGATTTACCAAAGGACGACGAATTACAGGAAATTATCAAAATATTATATAAACCTAAAAGATATATTAACCAAGATCCTTTATCAAGTTCTATGTATGATGAACCCATTGAAAACTCATTGAATAAAATAAAAAATCTTGAAAAAAATATTATTAGAAATCATTTTCCAAACGTACAACTCAAATCTCTCTCTTTGAACAAACCAAAATCTGCTACATTTTATCGAACGTTAGGTTTTGCTGTTTCCCAAAACATAAATCTTGGTCATAATTTAATGGAATTTTTGGATTTTAATTCAATAGATTTAAATTTAATGATGATAAAAGTATTTTATAAATATTTAAAATATAATAACGTATTTCAAAATATTAATTTTGACGTAATTATATCGTTTCTAACATCTTTAGAGTCACATTGTTACCTAAGAGTTCCAATCGAATTGGTCTATAAATATAATGATAAAGAACTCGCTGAAAAAATGAGAATATACTAAATAAAAAAAAACATTATTTAATAAAATTATTCATTGTCTTTAAATATTTTTCATTATGGAGACATTTTTTAGATTCAGGTATTCATTTATTTAGTTTTTGATAAATTTAACTATAAATTTTGTCCATTAACATTTATTTAAAAAATAAAAAATATTTAAGACATTATATACCATATTTTTTTATCTTGCACAATTTATTAGATAGTTTAATACAATGAAATATTACATATTTACAAAAGAAGCCTGACTGGACTATTGTATTATTTTAGTTAACTGTTGCCTTATAGAACTAACCACTTTTTAATTAGTTATGGCACATTCTGAAAGTAAGTAGAAGAATTTTTATCTGTGAATTATGGTTAAAATACCTCTAAAATAATACCCCTAATTAACCTAGTCTTTAATCTACCCTCAAATATAATTTTTCTTAGAATAAACTTGATATTTACAATGGTTTAAAAAAATTTATGTGACCAGTTTCTTGATGGTTTTTTTTGTGTTTATTATTATCAAATAGTGACAATGTCTAAGTTTTTGATCTGTATTTTCATAAACATTCAACGCTTACTCAAAGAGACTTCACAGCAGGTTGATTAATTAAAGAATTAAAACATCCATTTCCTTATAATTTATTATAAAAAATATAATATTTATAACTCATTATTTTGCCTATAAATATCATGGTCATAATTCAGAATTTATTGTATAAATATGTATACAAAATTGGTTATAATACAAAGAGTACCATAATATATTTTTCCTTATCGATTTATCTAAAAATGACAGTAATATGAATTAAAATTATACACTTATGAGTATATTACCATAAGACATTTATCTTATTGTTTTATTATAATATGATTTTTAATGTAATATGATAATTAATAATATAATTGCATGCAATATGATAAAATAAATTTTGGAAAAGATTAATAAATTCTGCTGAACGTTACTCGTAGATTACTTAAATATGTAGATACAAGCAATGTAAATGACAATTTAGATAACCATTTTTAATGTAATCTAGCTAAGATAAAAGATAAAACTATTTTTATCCAATTAAAAAAATTTAGATGACTTAATTTTCCCAACATATATCATCAAATATTCCAACATTTTTTTTAGTGATTCGTCAAAAAAGAAATATTTGTATTACAATCATTTCGCGATATTAAAACAAAATTTTAGTCATGGATGTATAGAATGAACTTTTGAGGATATTTTACTTTAGAAGTAAAATATTAAGTGATCATTACCAATATTTCATCGGAATTTAACTAAAATAAATTTAACCATATGTATTTTTCATGCTATAAATTATATATTTTATAAATGTATTTTCAGTTTCAATGCGAAACTGAGAAGGTATTAATTTTAGTATTATATGTTTATAGCTTCGATGCGAAACTGAGTAGGTATAAATTTACTATGATATGTTTTTTATTTATTTATTTATTTTTTGTGTCTGTAACCACTTTTTCTCAGCTCTCACCAAACCGATTTCTTTCAAAGATACCTCAAAAGATCGTAAATCTTATCTGATCAAATACATTACCCACAAAAATTGAAAAAATTTCCCTGAATGGGAGAAATCTCCAAAAAAATTACAAATTTAAAATTAGCTAATTTTTAATCAAAATTTTAAAAATTTGTTTTACTTTAAACTACCATAACTTTTTCAAATGACCAAATCAATATAATTTTTTTAGCTTCGATGCGAAGCTGAGAAGATATTGGTTTTACAATGATGTGTTTTTTTTTTTTTAAGAAATTAGTGAATTATTCAAAAAGCAAAAAATTCCTTTATAATTACTGATTATTAGTTTTTTTATTTAGAAGTATAATATATGAAAAAATATTTATTATAGCAATTAAATATAGTATTAGATTGATATTTAATAATTTAGTATTGTTATATTTTTCGGAGAATTTATAAAATATTATAAAGTAGTTATTACATTTATAGCAAAAGTAAATAAAATTTGAAAGTCTTGATCCAATACTTAAAAAAAATTTTTCTTATTAGCTTTTATACGAAACTGTGAAGGTATTAATTTTACTATGATGTGTTTTTTTTTT